CAGCCTACCCTATCTAGCAAATACTAGAGCATTCGCCAAGATATGGGATAGTTCTAGAAACAAGAGGGCGTGAGAATTGTCACGTGATCTTGATGACGCAACATTACTGATTTTAGCATCACATAAAAAATTAAAAGACTAAAAAAACTAGATTAGTAACTCTCACTTTTTGCACAAAACATTTAAAATTTGCTTATTAATAAATAAAACTACATTAGTAACCCTGAACAAAACTACTTTAGTAACGTGAAATTACAAAACATTCTTTCTACTAAGAATGCTGCTTACATGTCTTGTAGATAATTACTAATTTTAATGAGGAGCATGCTTTAGTTGGATTAAGTTTCAACACATCTGCTCTGCATTAGTCAAGTTAGGACATTTTATAAATTTGACTGAGTGTTCTGGTAAGATGACTGTCTTTATAACTTTATAATTAATTCTACTGGTCAAAGTTGAAAGTTCTGAAATTGAAACACCTTGATGGGGCTCTTCAGGACAATTCTATTGACCAATGATAATAGAAGTGATTTAAATAAATTTGGTAGAATTTACCCAGGGCTCAAAATTAGTTTAAGCCTGAGAGCAAATGGTCTCCAATAATGCCAGCAGGCTTGTAAGAAGTCTCCTAGGTAGCCCACATGGCCCCATAAAATCAAAAGAGCCATCAAAAGTTTGACTACACATAAGTTGATCTAAGCATTTTTTAACCGAGCAGAAGTAATGACAAACCATAAACAGACCTTCCCAAGTTTACAAACACTTGTCAGTCATGTACAATCCACAAGTGTCATCACTATGAATGTCCATGCAACAAATGTTTATCTCAAAGATGTGTATGCTAGCTGCACTGGTGTGCAATGTATACAGCATGTATAGCCTATCATGCCTAACAAGCAGAGTGTAGATGTATGTAGATACTTCATAGCCTTTGCCAAGGCTGTTGTAGCTAAGGTATCCCCTACTTAATTGCACTCTCCCAAAAGACCCATGCTAGTGAGCCATGAAGCCACGAATAAAGCTGCTCACATCAGAATATCACAATCTGGGGGTCCACAGCTGTGATGCACCTTGTTTACAGGCTAGGTAGTTCAAGGTTCCATGGCTTGTGAAATTGATATGCAAAAATGTTAGCATGCTCTGCACTTAGCACCAGGGAAACGTTCTAAATAGTAATTGTGAATGAAAGAAAAAATACACCTGTGGAAATAAACATTACTGCCCTATGGAAGATGTGTTAGAATGCATTAGAAATGTTTTATGCAGACAAGGAGTTCCATGCATAAAACTTGGAGTTTAGCCTCGGATCTGGTTATGGCCTTCCAATAATTGGATTAGTATATTTGCCAGCCATTTTGCATTACACAATTATTAAAAACATAAATTGTGCAATGGAAAAACATGGCTGTATAATCCAGAGAATTGATCCATTATTACCAGTAAGAGCATTGGCCTTTTGGTGATGAAAAATTCTGATGCTTTTCAGGCATTTTTGGTCTTTTCTGATAAAATATAATTTTTTTTGGCTATTGCTCTAAAAGACGTTTTCATTTAAAAAAATTAAACTCTTCAAAATAATGGAATTTCCATAAAGTTTGTGCTATGGCCTGATTCGAGTTATGTTAAATACTTGACAATAAATAGGGCTAGATACCCAGTCATAAGGTGGTATTCTGAAAACTATTAGTGGTCTATTAGCAAAAGTTGTATTAATTGCTATGGCAACAGATTTGCAATTGGTCATGAAACACATGTACACAGAACAATTATGGGCAGTTCATTCTAATAAACCACTAATAGCTTCTTCAGACTCACATTTTTTTCATTGCTAACAAACAGTCCACTAATAGTTTTCAGGTTCACATTCTCTTCTCAACATACCTTATAGAATATTATGCCACCGTCTTCATCATGGTGTAGCCAGTTATTATCCTTCTCCCATTCACCTCTGTAACTACTTTTCCTCTTTTTCCTTTTCATACTCATGATCCCCCCTTGCCTTTTTTTCTTCTGTTGCATTATTTTTTGGATCATCAACATTTGGTTCTCTTCATATAAGAAAATTTTTACCTTTGGACGATTTTTGTGACTTTTATGCTGTGTTCTCCACAACGTTGACCAAATATTATTTGGCAACACTGATCTGTCACAGGTAGACTCTTATTCATAAATACTAAATCCTTTTGTAACAACATTGTGGCAACATTTACAAAATAAAATTGATCTAAAAAAGAACGCTGTTGAAAAGAGGCAAAGGGACCACAAATATGACAAGGAAAGGCAGAAAAAGAGTTTACAGGCAGAAGAGGGAGAAGGAGTATATCTGGTTTGGTTATGATGAAGATGGTGGTGTAATGTTCTGAAAGATATGTTGAGAAGAGAAAGTGAAAGGTGGGCCTGGTAAAACTTTGAATGGATTCTACCTTGGATTCAGTAATTTCAAGCTTGATGCAATTAAGTAGCATGTGGGCAGTAAAAATCACTATGTTGCAATTTCAAGAAAAATTGCAAGATAGCCAAAGCCAGATTCATCACAAACAGAAAAGACGATACAAAAAATGAACAGAAAATCCATCGGTTGAAATACTTCTTCAGAAATGCACACACCATTTCGAAGCAATGCCAGCGCTTTTCACATTTCATATGGATATGTAGCTTAAACAAAGTCAAAGGTCTAGATATTGATGATACCTACATGAATGACAAGTCAGTACAGATCATTTTATAGCGGAGGTAGGTTAAGATATTTTATTTACTATTATAAATCTAAATAACATAGAATATGAATAAATTGTCAGTTGATGAAATCATACACGATTAAAAAAGAGAAGGGGTCATTAGATTTACAATTCTGTAACTTTATATTTTAACTTCTGGCAAGTAAACATTGGATGACATAATTGATGGTAGACTAGACACTAGATATAGACTCTATGTCAAAACTCAACTTCATTTGATGAACTATCAGTCTTGATAAAGTAGGTTTATAGTGACAAAATTTATTCAGCCCGATGCATTGAATTATGCTTAGGTTTAGATTGTAGCTCTAGATCTAGACCTTTAGATATATTTACAATTGTTTAAGGAATAACACTGTAATTTGCTATTTATAATCAGAAACAATGGTGTCAAGTTGGAGTTTATCAGTACTTTTGTTTGTTTTGTTAATTTTCAAAAGTTCAGGTTTTAATTTGACTGAATTGAAGATGGAGTTACAAGTTGCTTGTAAATCCTTTATCTGTGTAATTTACAGTCAAAGTAGTAGCTAGATTAGATACAGTCTAATTCTCATTATACTTAAATATGTACTGTACATGGATGTAGACTAATAACTTATGCATGTCATGAATGAAGTTGAAAATCTACCAAATGAATCTCGACTAGTAAATCAGCTGATTTGGAAGGAAGGACCATGTCCAGTT